ACTGACGGTAATTGATTGGGAACCACCGGTATCACAGTGGATATCGCTGGTCACCGAAGGAAATCACGACAGTTACGGGTTACTGGCAAGTATTTCGGTGGATATTGTTTGGTATTATTGTAAATACATTTTGATATCTTGCGGATATGTTTAGTATTACAAAATATAGTTTTATGAGTCTGATGACATTTCTTTGTTTTTTGTTTTTTTGTTTTTTTGTTTTTGTTTTGTTTTTGTTTTTTGTTTTTTTAAGCATAACTTAATCCAAGCTTTAGATTTATGTTATTCCTACAAACAGCTTCAGCTCCTACTGTTTTATACCGAGACAATGGCCATATTTAGAATTGCTTTGACCGTGTTTCACAAAGTGTAAAAAAGTACTCTACAAGAAGATCAATGTGATTTTTTAAGTTATTTTAAAAGTAAGATTTTATATTTTTAGATTTTGCTTCCAATACTACTTTTATTTTAAGTGAAAATAGTACTTCCACTATAAAAAAAAAAAAAAGAACAATCCAACGTTGTTTACTAAGTTGTTTCCTCTCTCAAAGTTTTTTTTTTTTTTTTTCTCAGAATTACCACTTATTATCACGTGTAATATTCTTTTGTCAAATTGCTTTCACTTCTTCTTGAGCAAGAAGACCCATAAGGTGTTTTTCTCTGAATTTCATTTGTAGGTCGTGCTGTAAGAAGTAATGCTTTTAGTGACGACATCATGTCATTACCGAAAGTTGTAAATGTAATTTGGGACATGTAGTGGGTAAAGTCTACAATTAATTAAATTAAGGGTTAATGGCCGAGTTAGGAGTCGTCGATTAGTGAAATTGATCCGCTGTGAGAGTGAGAGCGTTAATAAACGTGAAAAATAAAGAAAAACAGTAAAAAGACAAAAATTTATAGTGATTCTCCTAATAATGCATGATATGTCCACTGTAGGACTCCGATAGTTTTACTATGCATGCTGAAAAGTATTACAATAAGTCGTTTTGAGAAGAATGAGATGAGAGAGAGAAATGTATGCTGAAAATATAGTAAATAATGAAAAAATATGCTGCAAGTGAGTGTGGATGCTTTAGCGTACTGGAGAAGATGCTATGTCATCTCCCGGAAGACGTCTAAATGCCTTGTATTTGTAGTAGGAGAGGCTCTACGAGTTGTTTATTCATTTCTCAAGTGATTTTACCTTTAATTCGCGATATTCATTTTCTTCTTAGGCGTTGTATGACTTTCGTTAATTGGTTTTGTCCATAATCGACCGATCAATTATGGTTTCTTACATATTTTGAGTATTTCTGACCTTATTATTGTGTGATTGTTGGAGATATAGTTTTTTTTTTTATGTGGAAGACAATCAATTTTGTCCAATGATAGGGTATCTTATGGCCCAGGCCAACCGTTGACTTTTTTCCTCATTAATTCTTCTAGCTCGAGCAGTTGATCTCTTTTCTTTTCTGGTTGATTCTGTTGCTAAATTCCGTATAAGGAATGTTTTAAGGATATTCTTTCGTGATTTGATGTCCAAGACTGTTCGTGAAATTGACCGGTGGGATCAACCAGTTGATGAGTCATTTTAGCCTGCTCATAAAGTTGCGATGACTCATTTAGTGACATTTCAGAGCCTGAATTATCACGTGTATAATATGAGATGAGATACAAAAAATAACCTCAATAAGATAGCATGTCATCATAGAATTTCTCTTGTCGTCACTAAAAACTTTTAGAGTTGAGTCAGATTATAACTTTTGAGAGCTACGAATTTTTTTTTTTTAATGACTACAAATGTCATTGTTAAATGTCAAAGTTTCTATCCATACTTTTAGCCGAGTGATTTCCGCCGGATTTTTTTTAACGACTACAAAAGTCATTGCTAAATGTCAAGTGTCTATCCAAACTTTAGCGACCAACATTTTGGCACAGATGTGAAATTCTCCCTCTGTTACATTCGTGCTTTTACGACAAAAATGTTGATGTGGCTGTGGGAAATTAAGGTAGTTGAAAAATAAATATCCTTCTCACCACAACACATTTTAGCCGCCAAAACGACCTTAAAGTCGTGTTTAGAGTTGTTCTTGTTTTTAATTTTCATGTTTTTTAAAATAAAATGAAAATGATTTTAAAACGACGTTTGACATAATTAAAGATAAAAAACAGAAATGAAAATGATTTTTTAGTTAAGTGTAAAATATGAGAGAAATGAAAAACGACTTTTAGTCGTTTTTTATTTTTTATTTTTGTTTTCTACTCTCTCGAGCAGAGAGAGAGAAAAAGAGAGATATTAATAGGTTTTTTATATTGAAAATAATCTTTTGATAAAACTACTAAACGCATTTTTAAAAATAAGTTATGTTTGAAATTGAAAACGTTTTCATTTCTATTTTTATATAAAAAATAAAATCATTTTGAAACGAGTTCCAATCGCACCCTAAATTTTTCTCTTGGTTCTTCATCTTTTCTCTCTCTATTCAGTTAAGAAGTACTGGAAGTTTTTTTTTTTTTTTGGCCCCTCTGTGTTTGACCCATACAATACCCTTCATGGTGGTAAAACTCCCATGGCAATCGTGGAAGACGTTTCTATAGCTGCGGTAGATATGCGGGTAACAGATAGGGCGTGTTTGCAGCGATGTCAAAATTTGGGGGGCTACTAAATCACATGTTTTAAATTGTGGGAGACAGATAAGATATAACAATAACAACATTGGACGCCAAAGCTTGGTATTTGGGCTATCCAACTAGTGAAGGCTTCAGTTTTAATTATGTAACGGTGGAAGGGTAAGGAGGTTCTTCGAGTTGTTGGAGTTGTTGGCTCTCTTCATTGCTCTCCTTAATTCATTACTTCGAGTTTTTAATTTAGAATGAGATGTGACTTTTTATGAGAGTTTTTAATTATAATAAAATTAAAATTAAAAACTCAAATCAGTAAAATAAATGAGACTTAAGTACGTGAGAGATTTGTAGTATGGGGACACAGAGAATAAAAAATGTTGCGGCTCATAGATTATGATTATATTTGTATGCTCCCACAGATAAACTGAGTATGGGCTCCTTTGAGATTGTAGGGTATGTTTATTTACACAGCTCAAGTCATGATGTATGTGAGAAAAAAACACTATAATAAAAAGATTAAATTTAAATTTTTATGAGAGAAAATATTATAATAATATGACTTGAGTCGTGAAAATGAACATGATCGTAGTCTTTTCTTTTTGATATGATTGTTTGTGTGTGGTTTAGTCACATTTATTAGTTATTCTGCCAATCTTTGACCCTTCTTATAGTCTTTATTCAAATATATATATATATATATATGTTGGGGTATTAATAAAATTAATTTAAAATGAAATTTACAGTCTCGTTTATTTTATTGCTTTAAGTTTATAATTTTAGTTTTGTTACGATAAAAATTTTTAAAAAATAATCACATTTAATTTTTTATTACAGTAAAAAATTCTCACACAAAATCACATCTTAATTTAAATTAAAAATTCGAATCAAACTAAACGGGTCCTACATTTATATTCATATAAGTAAACGTATACACCCTCCGATTCTCAAAACATAACATTCTTCCCCCTTCATGCCCGCGGAATGTGAATTCTCCCAAAAGCAGTAGTACTAACTAATGAGTGCAGCTGCCGGCCTTAACCATTAATGATGAATCATCAATATTCAATGAGAATCCGCCGAAAGTCAATTAGCTCATGTTTATAATAATTGCAGTTTAGCTAATTTCTCTACCCAAAAGACCAGAAAATTTGAAATTATGAGCAAAAGTGACCTTAAAAATAGGAACACCAATGATGCACGTGGGGAGAATAAATTAGGAATTTTGGCTCCTCCAATTGATCTCTTTGAGGATTTTCTTTGGCGGTTTGGTACGTACATGTGTTAAAGAAAAAACCATGTACAATAATTACCATTAAGAATTGGACTGAGTCATTTTTCTAGTGAAACTTTGAAAGAGACAAAAGTATTCTCTGCTTGATAAGATACATATCTAAAAGTTTCGAAAGAAAAAGTTTTGTCATGTTGACGATTGGTAACCAAGATTAGCCTCTCATCGAGAAAGAAGAAAAAAGAAAGTTAGCCTGTTAGGTAAAGAAGAGAAAGATGTCCTTTTGAAGTAAAATGACAGATAAAAGATAGAACTACTTGGACTATTCTTGAAACGAATATCAATTGCAATATCTCACCAACATATAGGAAAAGTACAAATATCTCCTTCCATGGATCTAGTGGTTGAGATATCTTTATTTTGTTCAAGGGTAACCTTCATGGTGACTTTGGATAAGAGAACTTCTTTTCTTTTACTATTTTGGCTAAGATGGTGCACTAAATCAATCACTTGCTTAATACATACATAGATATATGTCAAATTTATAAGCATTTTCTTAAACATATTGCTTTCATCTTTGCTTTTTTCTTTTTCTTTTTTCTTTTTCTAATAATCTCAGTAAAGAAAAACCAAAATCTAAAATTTCTTCACTGTCTGCTTTTTGTATGTAGTTTTATTTGGTATACTTTTAATAAAGCAGAACTTCCATGTTACTTAAAATTGGCCTTTTAATTATTCACTAGGAATGTTCCAACTCAGAAATGATTTACAATATTCCAGTACATGTGTGTGTATATTTCTTTGCCTGTGCATTAAGAATATTATAAATGTTCTTGCTCTGCCACTGAAAGAAGCGCCTCTCTGAATCATTCTGTCTGAATTTTGCAAGCTTTGCTTCTTCAGTATCTTAGCTGTTAGACCAACTTTTGTTTTCGGCAATCATTATATATATATATATGTATATATATATATATTATGTTGGCTTGCACCTAATTTTATGCTTAAAGCAATATCCATTCCTAAAGCAGCCTTTGGCTTCTCATCATTGTATGCATTTTCTAATACGTTTCTAGACACTCAATTTAGTTATTAAACCTCAACCAAAACAATAAAAAATTTAAGCAAAAGAAATAGAGTAACTCCAATACAATATATAAACAAACCCTCACATATACTTACAAATGGATACATGTAGTATACAAGTAACTCAACTTTTGCCCCTCAAAATAATAAATATAATAATAAACAAACCCCATATGATGAAATGACGCAAAGATATTAGAAAGAGAAAAAGGAGTTACTTACCCCTTCCCTTCCCAAAAGAAAGAAAGAAAGAAAAAAAAATTAAAAAATGGACATAAAAAGTGTCTAGCTCTAAAACTGTCTAATTAAACTAGTGCTATGAACCTGGCACTTGAATCTTTGTTGGATCTCTTCAGCTTAGCAAAGCAAATATTGCCTTTTTTCTGTTTCCTTTTTTACCCTTCTTCTTTTCTCATAACCCTCTACTAGCTTACACAGAGTCAAGCCCATCATCACCCTCTCCCTGAAAAAGGTGGCTATGGGCACAACCCACAAATATTTGGGCTTACTTTGACACCAAAACAAAAAAAAAAAAAAAAAGGATTTACTCAGGAGCTCCCTCTCCATCCAGGGAATTTCCCCATTGAACTTTAGCTTGATACTGCCGGATTTGCATTGAAGCTCTTTATGATTATAACACCATTGTATGTTTATGCTTCCTTCCTAACTCAATGCAGCCATTTCTGAAATTTTTTTTTCAAGAATGATAAAGAAAGAACAATTAGTAACATTTCATTAGACTAGACAAAATGTAGTTCAATAGAGTAGCTAGAAAGAATTTTCAGCAATTTACCTATCAAGTTCTTGAGTGTAGTCAAGCTCAAAATGCACGTGTCATTACAAACTAACATCCCCCACATTCCGTACCCGATGCTCGACGCTTCTTAGATCGCGGAGATGCTGCAAAATCTCTTGAAGAAGATACAATCCCTTGTCTCCTTTCCTCAATGAACTTATGCAATGCTTGAGGAACTCTCTATCTGCTTCTAGAGCTTGTAGTCTCTCATAGACATGATCCACCTCCTCCTCAACAGCAAGCCTCTTGCTATCATGTTCGAACTCTATCACCGAGAAGTTTTTCGTCGAAACATAATTGAACCCCTCCCCGTTTCCATTCAAAACTCCATCTTCAGCTTCTGCCTCCGCAGCATCGAAAAAGGGAAGGAGTCTCTTGGCCTTGGCTCCCATAATTCTCCTCTCTTGGTGATGAGGATGCTTTCCATTCATTTCCTTGTAATGGCCATTTGTGACCACCCCATTTACTTCACCACCACTAATCACATCTAAATCCTCATGATAACCATTTCCATTCTCCTTATAGAGGTGATCAATTGATTTTATATCCTCAAAGTGTTGGTCCTCTCCATCACTAAGTGTGAAGAGCTTCTCTTCCAACATTCTGAGTTGATCCAATATTGATAGCCTCTCTTCCTCAAAGCTTGCCAATGATTCCTCCAAGTAAAGAACAGCATCGGCAGGGGTGTTCTGGTTGCCAACCTCCTCGTGCCCATCGGGGCTATCTTCTTCCTTCGCCTCATTGTTCAAATCAATGGAGAGTCCATCACTATCTTCACCATTGCTACAAGAGACAGAGGGTGTCCTGCTTATTATGCTGCAATCTTTCATTCTCCTCACCATTACTCTCTCCTTGGCCTCATATTCCTGAACTCTTTTTCGATAAATCTCGAGCTCCTTTTCGAGCTCTTGCTTCTCTCTCTCCCTCTTTATCATCAGCTCATTCAGAAGCTGCAAAGCTTCCTGATCATACTCGGACTGCTCCTCCATCATTCTCTGGTACTGCAAGGCTTCCATTTGCATCGCTGCCTTTTCTTCCTGAAGCCTGTTTATCATTGCCATTGTCTGACTTGCCGCTACTGCAGAAGCACTCCTCTCTTCTTCCAGCTCTGCATACAACGCGTTTAAGGCCTTCCGTTCTGCTTTCAGCACGGATTTTAGCTTCTCAACGGCTGGGATTCCATCCCCGCCTTCGATATCACTCATCACACTGCCGTCCAAGGAATCTTCTGCTCCTGATTCTCTTCTCTCAAGTAATAGCAGCTTCTTGTGCAACTCGTGGAGACTGTCTATAGAACTCAGGGTGTCGGGAACTTTGTCTCCCTCAATGTCACTGAGTTCTAAACAAAATGCTGAATGATTGTTCACCTCTGTTGGATTTATATCCCCTATTGAGGCCTTGAATTCTACTTCTTCCTCAGCTCTCTCAAAATCTAATATAGATTAGAAAACAAAAGAATATTAAACTAAGAATAAGTAAGAAAAAAAAAAAGAGTTAATTGTGGGAATGTACTAAGATGAAGAATTGAATTGTACCATGATTATCATCAATAGGCAAGTTGACAGAACTTGTAGAAGGGTCTTGTTCTTGTTGTATATGCTGGATTTCTTGAGTTTCAATCTCATCAATCGGTTCTTGATCAGGAATCTCAGTCCCTATTGAGATTTCTCCATCAATTCCTTCACTTTGCATATGAATATCATCCTCAGATTCTACAAACATTGGAAAAATATTCAACATTGTGAAATCAAAAGAGGGTACCAACTAAAACTTAAAGCAGTGTCAAAAAAGAAAAATGTACCTTGATGAACATCTAAATCACTTTCTCCTCTTGCCACTGCTTGACCATCGTCATTGTGGCCGTCTTCATCGTCGGAGACGGTTTGAGTAGCCCGAATGGCAGCTAGTTGCTGTAACTGCCTTGTCTCCGAATCTATTTCATCTGCATGAAAGGCAAAGGAGCTTCTTTTGCACTCACTCAAGTCCTTTGACTCAACTGCTTCTTCAAGCTTGGTCTCCTCTACACTCTCTTTCGACGAAATTAATTCGAGCATCTCTCCCGAGCTATGCCAAGTTTCTGTGACTTGTTCAGCTTGTGCCTTGACGTTCATATCAAAGTCCAATATAACATCTTGATTACTAGAGCTTCTTTCATCTTCCACCTTGTACTTTCGCCGATTTCGGTTCTCAGTGGTGGCGGATTCCACCAATTCAATTGGAATTAAATTGCAATCCTCCTGGCCTATGAAGAACTCCAAATGGTGATGAACAGGGGCATCAGAAGATGTATCTTTGCCAATATTTTCTTCGACTTTACTCTGCTCACAAGGCTGGTCCCCCATGGAAACCTCCAAGTTCTCCTCTTCAATGGACTTTCCCTCTTCTTCCTCTTCTTCTTCTTCTGATTCTGATTCTTCTGATTCTTCATCTTCGTCAGCTGCAATTTCTCTGCACAAAAAGTTAGTTTGAGAAAATGAACCATTCTCTTTCACTTCCTCTTCTCTTCTTTCTTCCGAACCTTCATCGACCCCGAAAACCATCTCAATTCCCCTGTTCTCTTCACTCCTCTGTTCATCTTCATGATGATCAACCACAAAATCTGATCTGCTATGATCCGAGTGATCACCTTCATAAGTTTGAGCATCAATATTCCCTTCTTCTTGTTCTGCTTCAATAAAATCCTTTTTCTGGGCATAATCCAAAACCCCCCAAGAAGGGTTGATCAGAATACAAGGAGGGTAGAATCTGGTGCTCAAGTCCACACCACAACAAGAACACTTTTTCAAATTCTCTTCCTCACCAATTTCATTGGTCTCAACAACCTTGTCATTATCATTTCCGTCACCACCATCCTTGGTCATACCAATCTGCTTCATCCAAGGAAAGAAAGCAAACTTTTTCGACCATTCGTGGCAGTCGGTATCGGAGGAAGAGGACGAGCAATCCTCGCACATGTCCCGCGATTCGGCGAGCTTCCGGTGGTTGAGGCAGTAGCCAAGCTTGGAAATCTCAGTGGCGTGAGCTTCACATATGAGATCTCTATGAGAATTGTTGCTCTTTTGGGGCTCAAAGATGTGATCAAGCCTTGAACACCATAGGCAAGGCCTTTTGAGACCGAAATAATCGGCGAATTTGATGATCAGGAAAGAAAACAGAGAATTTAAGAGGAGAAGAGCGATTAGAATCCACTCCAGAACTGCATAGACGAGAATAAGAGTGATTTTGTTGGTGTTCCTATGTAACATGGTTGCAAACTTGTTGGCAGCCATTGATGGTGCTCTGTTTTTTTTATATGTACACAAGGAAAGAAGAAGAAGGAGATTATTTATGATTATGATCAAGAAAGAAAGAATAAAAAAAAAGGCTATTTTGTTAGAGAAATGGATTTGGAGGATTGCTTAGGAGGAGAAGGAAAGATCAGAGGATTTTAAAGGAGAGAGAAAGGGAGAGAGGAGAGAAGAAGTAGATGAAGAAATGGTTTTATGTAGACAGATAAAGGTGGTTTGAGTGGAATGACAGCCAAAGAAGGAAAAAAAAATGGAGTCAGAGAAAATTAAAGAATGTTTTTTGAAGTTTCATCCATAAGCAGGTGCTTAATTATGTATTTTTCGAACAAGTTAACAAAGAATAGATTAAATTAGATTGACAAGCAAAAGAAAAATGAATAGTAATGGATTGAACTAGATAAAAAAAAAAATATGTGAACGAAAAAGACACCTGGTTCATGAAATAGTGCAACTATAATAACTACATTTTTTTTTTTTTTTTTGTGTGTGGAAGTGAATGGTAAATGGGGTTTTTAGTGTAAAATCCCATGGCGGTTAAAGTAAAGTAAATTCATGGATTCAAGTATAGCCATATTTCTAGGTCAGTCTTTGCCAGCTCCACTTCATATTTTATTTCATTTTTGATTTTTTGGGCAGCAAATGGGGTGGTCCATCAACCACAACAATGAGTTGGTGGGCCACTCTCAAAGCAAGGGTGTGGGTCCATGTTGGATCCAGATGCTCAAGTTCATTATGGAAGTCTATTTCCCATGAAGCTTTATGTTCTCATGAGAGAACCCTTTATATTGTTTTGCCTAATATTATATTATGATGGTAACTGCTTTAAACTGTAGCTGCTTTTTAGGTTGCTACGTTTGTTTGTTGTTTACTCCATAAATAGGAAACCATTTCGTTTTGTTCACATAGATGTGTGTCCATGAAGATGAAGTAAGATGAATAATTACACAAGTAAACAAATTCTATGCTTCTAAACAGTTGAAAGTTTTAACAAAGTGGAGAAATTTGTATATTTTCTTACCAAGCCAACCCTATGAAATGGGCTTAAATACTTTCAATGTGAAGTATACGTGTACTTGAATTGCTCACATGATATGTCACATTTATTGCTTATATTCATTTCGCCAATACATAGAACAAGAAGAATGCAATGAATTATTTTATTTTATTTTTCAACCAAAAAAAAAAAAAAAAAAAGAAGGAAGAAGCAGAAGAAGAATGCCACATAATTGAAAAACTTATTACTCTTTTTGGTAGCTTTTTTTTCTATTAATTTTAATTGAAAAACTTATTACTTTTTTGGTTGCCTTTTCTTCTATTAATTTGAATAAAAATATGATTAACTTGAATAATGATAATGTTAGAAATACTTTATCAAGATATAACTATTCTTGTTCCACCTTTCATTTGATAGGTAATAAGATCTTAGGTTTGAGTTAGTCCGATTGTGATGGACGAGATATTTAAACAATTCACTTCATAAAAGATTTATATGTCATATGAGAATGTTGAATGTTGTCTTCTCAAAATTATCTAAATAAGCAATCCATTATCCATATAAATTCGTAGACCAAAATAAATAAATAAATCAAAGTTTTAGAGTGGGGATAAAAGTTAATTCAATATTTTTAGGTGAGAGATATATCTTAAACTCATGACTCATGCCATACTTAAAACCATGTGATTGTGGAGCCAAGAAGTTGGATGGTGTGTGTTACTAAACCATAAAATGGGTTCTAATTTTCAGTTTTATCCAAAAAGCAATAAAATTCAGAATTTATAGCTCTCTTTTTTTTTTTTTTTAGGTGAGATAAAAATTATAGGTATATATATATATTATATCCATACACACACACATATATAATATATAGGTGCAATTTGCTGGGGCCATGACACCATCACCAAGACCTGGCTCTGCCCACCTTTCTCTTTTTTTGGCTTTAATCTCTGTAATTATTTCACCAAATGGAGCTCTTTTTTCCATCTACTCGCCTACCAGGTGATCAACTTTCTTTACAAGCCCACAATGTAGTACTTGAGAATTGAATCATATTTTCTTAAATGAATCTATGTTCATATATGTTCAACAAACTTCTTTTTCATTATATTCTCTGTTTTTTTTCAGCAGCTGACCAGACAAGTTTTGAATTCGCCAAAGTCAACCAGCGGGCAAAGTTTTATGATGGTTGAATGTTCTTTTTCCGAAGAGATGGCTCTAATACATACGCAAACAAGTTTTGTGTGCAATCTTTCGTATAAAACTAATATGAGAAAAATACACACAAAAAAAAAAAAAACTCCATTAATTATGTAATAAATTTTGATGGGAAAAAAAAACTATATGGAGGGCAGTAATATCGAAGATTTCTAAGAATAAAGCTGGATTATCAATTTGTTATATTTTCTGTTGGAATTACTATTCAATAAGCTACCCCCCTTTTTTTTTTTTCCCCCTTTTTCGGTTTTTTTCCCCACTAACTAGCTGATTTTATGTTGTGTCTTTAAGACAAAAACGAGTGCCAAATGAAAGAAGCATTATTATTTTAGCCCTTCAAAAGAAACAAGAAATGAGGCAGAAAATGCCTAAATAGTATTTTGTTGTTTGCCTCCGAGTAGGTTGGGTCAGGCTGGGTTTGCACCGCCTCTCACCGACCATTTCCAATTTTCTACCCCAGAATTCTTAATGTTTTTAGTTTCTACCTTCTGGAATCTTCAATTCCATCATGCCAATACCCCCGGTTTTCATATTCCTTTATTTAAGAGGAATCAAAGCTTTTGTGCTTTGGCTCCTCTTAATTGCTTTTTGCTTTAGTCAATCCTTTTGTATATTATACCATGTGTTCACAATGTTTCATCATTTACCCTATTAGTTTCTAATAATATTATTTTTCCATTTTTATTTCGTGACCAGTTTTCTGCTAGTATTTTAACCTAAGAATTTTCCTATTTAACCACTAAAGATGATTTTTGTTGCTTTTCTACTTAAGCATCCACCAAGAAAGAATTGACAATCAAGTTTTTGCTACTATTGCTTTGCTGCCACTCATGAGGAATTTAAAAAGATGATCATAAAATTCACTTTCACCCGCTTATTACTGTTTATATAATGTTGTGTCCTTAATTTAAGTAATTTCTCTAAAATTAAACAATGTTAATTACTTGGGTGTTTAGTTTCTTTATCCTATGCCAATGGACATAGACATGAATCTTTGTAACATTCATGCAAACTAACAAAGTTTGTTGCTTTGTAACATTATATTGTTTTGAGTTTTATTTTCATTAAGTTCATTGAAACTATGTGATTGAATCCAAAAAATAGGATTTAAATTTAATTACATTTGAAACCAATTGGAAGATCACCTACATATATATATATATATACACACACTCATACATACATACATATATATATACCTGTTTTATGCTTTGATTTTCCCAACGTCACTATAGCTTATGATAAGCAGTAAAATCTGTAAAGTTATGGGATTATATTGAAAAGAAAGAACAACAACAAAATCAAGGTTGGACAAAGAAAAAGGGGGAGATAATGGAAGATATATGTTAATTGATTAGCCAAATTAGAACCAATTAGTCATAGCAATGGTACAATAAAGACTCATAAATATTTATTCATTTGTTTAGAATGTTAAAGCTATACTAGAACATGTTTCTTGGACAAAACTTTAGAGCCAAATTCTGTTTGGAAAAGTTGATTACAAGTATCCTTTTCCTTCTTTTTACTCCTCAAAACTTTGGTTTAATTTTTGACTAAAAGGGTCCAAATAACTCTTTAAAAAGCAAACTAGGACACCCAAATTAGAAAAGAAGCACTATATTTATTTTATTATCATTATTACTTTTAAAGAGAAGCACTAGATGTATGATCGTTTCTTTAAATTTGAAAAATCAAAGATATGACCACATCACCATCTAGAACTATTATTGAATTTACGCTTTATAAAATTAATTTAGGAAAAATTAACAACTTATGTTTTTATTTAAATTTATGCATAGGCCCCAATCTTCCTTAATGGTCTAAAATTATGTGCCATATTTAGCCCCCCAATTCTGATTGAAAAATTTTCAAAATCGGCGATCTAATTAAAAACACAAGGTATACCCTACAACTTTATTTTCCAATTGGGACCCGTGGGGGAATCATCTACATGACTTGCGTGGTTACAAAGAATCATCCCAACATATTTGACAAATTATTTTTGCTTAATCTTGTACAATAATTATACTCTAATGGACCCAATGCTCATTTCTAATGATTACTCTAAACAAATGTTATTTAAGCTTCAATTGAAATTTAATTAATGGGCAGATAAGAGGCCTTGGCACAATTAATGGGTCAGTGCCTAAATAATATGGGTTATAGTTTCTTTTGTTTTTGTAATTTATGAAGGCCCTGATGTCTGAGAAATGAGAATGGCCCCAGAAAAGGTATTTGCAATTTTCAACTAGCTAGGACAAATTTAAATATTCCACATTAAAAAAGGAACAAATTTAAATCCTATATATATATATATTTAGTTGGGATAAGCTCTTGTGAATTGTGATGGTTGAACTGTCCAAATCTTAAGGCCAAAACTAAGTAATTTTATGAACAAAACCGACCAACTCAACTTGATGAGCTTTAAGTTTATGTGTTGGAAGTCAATATGACTCTAAAGAATCACAAATTTTAAAAATAAAAATGAAATGGATTAAGATAAAAAATTGATATACAGACTTGCAGGTTTTGACAGAATTATGTGATGGTAGCCCAAAGTCAGGGTCCTACGTAGAAACGGGCAGCATACTTTTGACGTCCTTAATTTGTCTCATATATATCGTGAACAATGGCAGTGAAACTTTATTCATGATATGTGTATGATACATACATACTCACCAACCACACAATTTAGGTTCACACATTTCCAGCTACCAAGTGCATATGCTTTTCGTTTTTCTCTCTCTTTTTTTTCGATTCTATTTTATGTACAATATTGTTCTTAAATTTTAGTTCCCATTCCTTCATTATCATAAATAAGGTT